TTAGTCAGCATCTATAAACACACACGGCCATGCTTAGCATCTGTAAACACACTCGGCCATGTCTAGTCAGCATCTGTAAACACACACGGCCATGTTTAGTCAACAAACGTAACTAAGCATCGAAAGATGTGTCTGGAGCACACCTCCAGTGCTGTTGTAGCGTGCTGGTGGTGGCGTCTAGAGAGGTTGTCGTAAAAGTCTGATATCGGGTCACATTTGACTGGCCTCGTCTGATCGTCTCGAGATGTTAAATGAAGTTCATCGACGTCCAGACCACTACAGCAATACTGTCAGCCAACTTCTGATGTCTGGACATTGATTCTCCGCTCCAGCATTCTCTGCAAAAATTCACTTTTGTCAACAATTTGTGTAGAGTCCCGCCCTTTTAACGGAAAGCGTTGACCCCTGGAAGGGTAGGAGACGGCGGCGACTTTCTGTCCGCTGACTTGAAGTTGGAATCTTGGAGTTGCACGCAATCACGCACTTGAGGCGATATTTTGGGCCTCAAAGCAAAAAAAGATGGAAGAAAAGTCTTACAGCAAAGTAGAGTTTCATAGAATGTGACCTGTGACCCTGTCACGGCGCGGGCGATAGAATTCATATGATTAAAGTGGGAACTGTGATGGGACGTTGGGGAAGGGCACGTTCTTGGTGGGGTGTGGGTGTGAGATGTGGCCGCTCACGTTATTCTACTGATGTGGTTGAGATTGGGGTTGGGGGAGACACGTTCTTTTTGTGTGATTGGGATGAGATGTGGCTGGACACGTTATTATTGTGTGATGTGTAGGAGATGTGGTTGGACACGTTCTTATAGTTATGTGGGTGAGATGTGACCGGGCATGTTCTTGTTGTAATATGATTTAGATGTTCTGGAGTACGTTCTTGCTGTGACGTGGATGAGATGCGGTGGGATACGTTCGTGTTGTGATGTGGATGAGATGTGGTAGGATACGTTCATGTCGTGATGTGGATGAGATGTGGTGGGAAACGTTCATGATGTGATGTGGATGAGATGTGGTGGGATACGTTCGTGTTGTTATGTGGATGAGATATTGTGGGATACGTTCGTGTTGTGATGTGGGTTAGATGTGCTGGAATACGTTCTTGTTGTGATGTGGGTTAGATGTGGTGGGAATCGTTCTTGTAGTGATGTGGGTCAATTGGAGTGAGAGATGTTCTTGTAGTGAGGTAGGTGAGATAGGCTGGAGACGTTCTTGGAGTAATGTGGGTCAGTTGGGGTGGGACATGTTCTTGTAGTGATGTGGGTGAGATAAACTGGATACGTTCCTGTAGTGATGTGGGTCAATTGGGATGAGACATGTTTTTATAGTGATGTGGGTGAGCTAGGCTGGAGACGTTCTTGTAGTGATGTGGGTCAATTGGGGTGCGACATGTTCTTGTAGTCATGGTCAATTGGGGTGAGACAAGTTCTTGTAGTGATGTGGGTGAGAAAGGCTGGATACCTTCTTGTAGTGATGTGGGTCAATTAAGGTGAGACATGTTCTTGTAGTGATGTTGGTGAGATAGGCTGGAGACGTTCTTGTAGTGATGTGGGTCAATTAGGGTGAGACATGATCTTGTAGTGATGTTGGTGAGATAGGCTGGAGACGTTCTTGTAGTGATGTCTGTCAATTAGGGTGAGACATGTTCTTGTGGTGATGTTGGTGAGATAGGCTGGAGACGTTCTTGTAGTGATGTGGGTCAATTAGGGTGAGACATGATCTTGTAGTGATGTTGGTGAGATAGGCTGGAGACGTTCTTGTAGTGATGTGGGTCAATTAGGGTGAGACATGATCTTGTAGTGATGTGGGTGAGATAGGCTGGAGACGTTCTTGTAGTGATGTGGGTGAGATAGGCTGGAGACGTTCTTGTAGTGATGTGGGTGAGATAGCCTGGAGACGTTCTTGTAGTGATGTGGGTGAGATAGACTGGAGACGTTCTTGTAGTGATGTGGGTGAGATAGGCTGGAGACGTTCTTGTAGTGATGTGGGTCAATTAGGGTGGGACATGTTCTTGTAGTGCTGTGGGTGAGATAGACTGGAGACGTTCTTGTAGTGATGTGGGTGAGATAGGCTGGAGACGTTATTGTAGTGATGTGGGTGAGATAGGCTGGAGACGTTCTTGTAGTGATGTGGGTGAGATAGGCTGGAGACGTTCTTGTAGTGATGTGGGTGAGATAGGCTGGAGACGTTCTTGTAGTGATGTGGGTGAGATAGCCTGGAGACGTTCTTGTAGTGATGTGGGTGAGATAGGCTGGAGACGTTCTTGTAGTGATGTTGGTGAGATAGGCTGGAGACGTTCTTGTAGTGATGTGGGTGAGATAGGCTGGAGACGTTCTTGTAGTGATGTTGGTGAGATAGGCTGGAGACGTTCTTGTAGTGATGTGGGTGAGATGATTTGTGGAATGTGAGATGGGTCAAACAATAGTAGTTGTTTAATATCTTTTAATCATAGCATAGAAATGCGTCAGACACACGGATGTTCTTTTGGGTATGGCAAGGTATGGACAAGCATGATCGTCCTCGCCAGTGGGCAGAGCACTTGATAATGATGAATATTATAATGTTGATTAATTAATATGGTAATGATACTGATGAATGTTAATGGTGATCAGGGCTTGATAATGCTGATGGTGATCGTGACTTTTTCCTCCTGGCGGTACGTAAAAGTACATAGTATGAGTAATCCCCCCCCCCCCCCTTAACCCCCTTAAAAAAATAAGTACAAGTGACGATGATGATGACGAGGGTGATGATGATGATGAGGGTGATGATGTTGACGATGATAATGATGACGATGGTGAGGATGATAACGTTGATGATAAGGATGACACTGATGATGATGATGACGTTGATGATGAGGATAATGACGAGGATAATTCATCAACGTTATCGTCCTCACCATCGTCATTATTATCATTATCATCGTCATCCTCGTCAACATCATCATCACCATCATGATGATGATGGAGAAACTGTCGAAAATGTTGATAAAGAGGATGACGAGGATAATGAAGATGATGAGGATGATGACGGTGGTGACGATGAAGATGACGAGGGCTGTGATGTTGACGAGGATGATGATGTTGACGATGACGACGATGGTGATGGTCTATGTTACTATGATATGTCTTGCCCGTGTTTCCACCAGCCGCTGATGGACATGTCGGGGCCGGGACAGGGGCAGATAATAATCAATAGAGTATCCAAACAATTTGCCGTCTTGATTCCTGGTTGTCGGACTTGACGGAATCCGGTCACACTATCAGTCATCGCGCCTGGAGAATTGTTGGGTACTGGACTCTGGGTGAAACATGGGGCACTGCGTTCTGGGAGAAGCATGGGTTGTTGGGTTCTGTGAGACACATGGGGTACTGCGTTCTGGGAGACACATGGGGTACTGCGTTCTGTGAGGCACATGGGGTACTGCGTTCTGTGAGGCACATGGGGTACTGCGTTCTGGAAGACACAAAGGGTACTGCGTTCTGGGAGACACATGGGGTACTGCGTTCTGTGAGACACATAGGGTACTGCGTTCTGGGAGAAATTTGGGGTACTAGGTTCTGGGAGAAACATGGGGTACTGCGTTCTGGGAGACACATGGGTACTGCGTTCTGTGAGACACATGGGGTACTGCGTTCTGTGAGGCACATGGGGTACTGCGTTCTGGAAGACACAAAGGGTACTGCGTTCTGGGAGACACATGGGGTACTGCGTTCTGTGAGACACATAGGGTACTGCGTTCTGGGAGAAATTTGGGGTACTAGGTTCTGGGAGAAACATGGGGTACTGGGTTCTTGGAGAACACGGGATACTGGATTCTGGGAGAAATATGGGGTACTGGGTTCCGGGAGAAACATTTGGTACTGGGTCCTGGAAAAAGAATGTGGTACTGGGTTCTGGAAGACACATGGGGTACTGGATTCTGGGAGACACATGGGGTACTGCGTTCTATGAGACACATGGGTACTGCGTTCTGGGAGACACATGGGGTACTGGAGTCTGGGAGAAACACGGGCTACTGGAGTCTGGAAGAAACACAGGGTACTGGGTTCTGGGAGAAACATGGGATATTGGATTCTGTCTGGAAGAAACATGGGGCACTGGGTTCTTTTAGAAACTCTGGGCACTGGGTTCTGGTAGAAACATGGGTCATTGGATTCTTGGGAGAAACATGGGTCACTGGATTCTAGGAGAAATATGAGGCACTGGATTCTGCGAGAAATATGGGGCACTGCGTTCTAGGACAAGCATGTGTTACTGGGTCCTGGGAAAAGCATGTGGTACTGAGTTCTGGGAGACGCATGGGGTACTGGATTCTGGGAGACACATGGGGTACTGCGTTCTTGGAGAAACATCGGGTACTACGTTCATGGAGACACATGGGGTACTGCGTTCTATGAGACACATGGGTACTTCGTTCTGGGAGACACATAGGGTACTGCGTTCTGGGAGAAATAAGGTACTTGGTTCTGGTGGAAACACGGGGTACTGGATTCTGGGAGAAACATAGGGTATTGGGTTCTGGGAGAAATAAGGGGTACTGGGTTCTGTGAGAAACATAGGGCCCTGGGTTCTGGGAGAAACGTGGAGCACCGGGTTCTGTGAGAAACATAGCTGGGTTCTGTAAGAAACATGGAGCACTGGGTTCTGGGAAAAACTTGGGGTACTAGGTTCTGGGAGAAATATGTGGCACCGGGTTCTGAGAGAAATACGTGGCACCTGATTCTTGGAGAAACATGGAGCACTGGATTCTTGGAGAAACATAGGGCACTAGGTTCTGGGGAAAATATGGGGCACTGGATTCTGGAGACAAATGTTTCGCTGAATTTTTAGAAACACATTGCTATCCTGATTCTAACAGAAAGATAGGGCAGCTGATTCTTACAGAAACATAGGGCACCTGATTCTAACAGAAACATAGGGCACCTGATTCTTACAGAATCATAGGGCACTGACGCTGTAGTGCCAGTGTCAATTGTTTACTTCTCTCTTCCTCAGCGCTGGCTCATCTAGAAAAATCTAGCCGATTTTGGCCACTGGTTATGAGCGACACCATTCTGTTCAACATTGACGTAAGTAGCTACCATTGTGTTTGGCAACGTCAGTTGAATATGATATCTGTAATGCTGTTGTACTTATGGTATGATGCAAGTACTGGATCACTTCTAAAATTTTCGGCAAGTCTTGTTCAGCGATTTGTCATGGCTTGTGCATAATCCACTGTGGGCCAAAAACTGAAATGTCATCTTAAGTTCTCTAAGGTTTCCCTAAAGCTTAGCTGTCAGCTCTACTAGGTGTTGCTACATGTTGCTCCGCAGCTCCGCCAAGAGAGGACAGTCTGACAAGATATGCTCTGGAGTCTTTTCAGCATTAAAACTCTGGCAGAGAGCTGTTTGGCTCATTACTAATTTACATGATTGTTTGTTGAGTCTGCAGTGTCCAGTGCATACGCGGAAAAACTGTGACTTGGTCTGTTTTGTTCCGTTGATCGAGGAAATCTTTTTCATGGTTGTAACCTGTATTTGTTTTTCAATCTCTTGCATGGTCTTCCCTTTGCTCTGTGTTCATTATATTTCTTCAACGTGCCTTTCTATGGCAGCTGGTACTGGTCATTCTCATCAGGTGGCCAAACCATCTCATTTGTTGTTCTTTAATGAATTGTACGACTGATTTTAGACATAGTCTTCTAATTTCTTCATTTCTGATTCTATCTCTTCTTGTCACACCGCCAGCTCTCGTAAGACATCTAATCTCTCTTGTTACGATCCTCCGCTCATTAGTTGGGGTAAGGGTCCATGTTTGGCACTGGTAGCACAATGTCAAACATATACCCTTACTAAAAGTATGCGAGCGGAAGATCGTAACAACAGAGATGAGATGTCTTAGGAGAGCTGTCGGTGTGACAAGAAGATATCATCATCATCATCAGTTCTCGTTATGCCTAGTGTCACATGAGGCTTCAGAGAGAACTTTCCATGCTTTCCTGTCCTGTGCAATCTTCAGTGCAGTTTTCCATGTCAAAGATGCCGCACTCAGGTCACTCTCCATCGTTCGTCTCCATGTTGTTTTTGGGCGCCCCTGTTTTCTCTTTCCCTCTGGTGTCCATGTGAGAGCTGTTTTGGCAGGTATATCAGGATTCATTCCCATAACGTGGCCAAGCCATTTCCGTCTTCTCTTGGTTATCATACTGTCTAAAGTTTCTTGGTTTGTGGCTTGAAGTAGTTTAGTGTTTGAGATAGAATAAAGTAATTAGAAGAAGCGGGACTCTTGGGATAAGCCTTATTTAAACCGTGCTGTGTGGCTGTAAGGGCACATGGAAATCTGGAGGGGACATATTCAAGCAAAACTAGCTTATATTGTTAATGGAAAAGAAATATAGTAATATGTTTGAAATAATATACAATGTATAAACAAATACCCGAGTGAGACAGAGAGAGGGGGAGGGGGGGGGGGAGAGAGAGAGAGAGAGAGAGAGAGAGAAAGAGATAGCGTTATACGTGGTTAAGGAAACCACTTAACCCCCCCCCCCCCCCCCCCCCCCCCCCCCCCTCTCACTCCCCTTTTTGTAGAGGTTGAGTTCAGACTCCCTTCTCCTTTTTTCTATTAAAAAACTGGATTAGAGAGAGAGAGAGAGAGCGTTATACGTGGTTAAGTAAACCACTTAATTCCCCCCCCCCCGCTTTGTGTGTGTGTGTGCGTGCGTGTGTGTGTGGAGGATGAGTTCAGACCCCTTTAGCCTTTTTTCTTTTTTTTTTAAAGTGGATTAGTGGAAAAGGGGGTGGGGGGAGGGGGACTCTAGGTCCCGTCCGAATGCTTGCCAACTCTAAACATCTGCTGTGTGTGCAAACATAAGCACGGACAGACACACCTAGACATTAACATGCTAGACCCCAAAAACTGAGCGAAGCAAAGCTCTTCGAGTCACAGAAACAGTCTGGTGAACTTCTATAGTTGCAGAACATCATCAGCCCACTGCCGCAACTGCTGCTCAATGACACGCTGACCGACGACGAGACCCTGGAGTGCAAGAAGGTCATCCTCAGGGTCGTAGGCATGGAGGCCAAAAATGACCCCCTGCCCGGGACGTCGCTGGGGTCCAGAGGCAAGGGACCTAAACGGTGAGTTTTCTTTTCTGGGCACGGTTTCGACTGGGAGCAGTTTCTTAAAGACCAGAACGCTAAATTTTATCTTCAGGAAGTTTCCAGAACACAGTGTTTTCTCTTAGAGAATTCTCAAAGTTTTTGCATTCAGAGGTCTCTGAGTTTTCTCATAGAAATGTGTCTCTTAGTTTTCTTTTAGAAATGTGTCTCTGAGTTTTATCATCTGATAGAGGTCTCCATCATGTTGATTTTTCTCCTTGAAAAGTTATCCAGATCTTTGAATGAGCAATGGATAAAGGCATGATTTGTTTGTTCTCTTTGAGGGCTATCTCAAACTTCAGGGTGTCTTTTCTGAAAGAGGTCAGATGGTGATGTGTCTAGAGACATGACGAAATACTTCGTGTTCTTCAACAATGTATTCAAAACATTAGGTTGTCTCTTTCAGAATTAGTGACAACCACAAAAGAAAAAAAGCTAGATTTATTTGATGGAAGGTAAGTAAGTTGTACCCCACAGGACATCACACAAGAAGCGATAAACACCCGGTGACACAAAGTGCCATCATGCGGATGATCACCCGTAGAGATGTCCCGGAAAACCCCGTTCAGCCGTTAGGCGTACCGACTATATTTAGGGCCCCCAGGGTGGGACTTCAAAATAACTAAAAATTGCATCCCACATTGGGACAACTTTATAATAATGTTAATTTACGGAAATGTCAAAAAGCTGGTTTTCTGCCATAAACAATAAGTATGAATTTTTGATTTTAGAAGAGAGCAAATTGAAAAGTACTACCCGGAGAATGATATTCAAACGACGAGTTTCCTTTTTCTTTTTTCCTTGGGTAACATCAAGACAAATTGCTAAAGTTTCTGTAACTGACTCCGTTATAATGAATGCAGTAGCAGCAGATTGAACAGGCACCATACATGTATCAGCCAGGGACCTTTGCATTGAAAGGTTTAGAGACTGGATCTGTAACCCTGTCTTGTAGATCTGTACCCATACTTTTTTTTTTGCTCACCTGCTGCACAAACTCAAGTGGCACAATTGGACAATAAATAATTGAATCAGTCAGTCTATCAATCAATTACCTAATGGATTGATAAATGAATGAATGAATTGATAAATGAATGGATGGATGGATGGATGGATGGATGGATGGATGGATGGATGGATGGATGAATGGATAGATGGCCAGGATAATGGTGTTGGAGGTTTCCTGTAGATAAACAACCTTTGTTCTGAAAGATGTTCTTGACCTACCTCTCAGAGAGGAGCAATACCGCCAGCTGTGGGCGGAACTGGAGACTCTGGTTCGAGCCTACTCAGACACGTCTCCCCAGCATGTCAAGATACTGGAGTGTCTTCTGGAGTGTAAGAAGCCTGGAGAGGACACAGTCTTGTTGACCAAGAAAGGTGGGTCCAAGAGGGACGAGAAGCCAGGGCATCTGCCTGATGTGGAGCAGAGTTGGAGAGACCTGGACAGGTAGGTGCAGTGTTGTTATCTCTCTCAGCAAATCAGTCACTCTCTCAACACATCAGTTACTCTCTCAGTACCTCAGTCACTGTCTCAGTACATCAGTCACTCTCTCGGTACATCAGTCACACTCTCTTTACATCAGTCATCTCAGTACATCAGTCACTCTCTCAGTACATTAGTCACTCTCTCAGTACATCAGTCACTCTCTCAGTACATCAGTCACTCTCACTCTCTCAGTACATCAGTCACTCTCTCAGTACATCAGTTACTCTCTCAGTACATCAGTCACTCTCTCAGTACATCAGTCCCTCTCTCAGTACCACAGCCACTGCCTCGGTACATCAGTCACTCTCTCAGTACATCAGTCACTCTCTCAGTACATCAGTCACTCTCTCAGTACATCAGTCACTCTCTCAGTACCTCAGTCACTGTCTCAGTACCACAGTCACTGCCTCGGTACATCAATCACTCTCTCAGTACATCAGTCACTCTCTCAGTACATCAGTCTCTCTCTCAGTACATCAGTCACTCTCTCAGTACATCAGTCACTCTCTCAGTACCCCAGTCACTGTTTCAGTACATCAGTCACTCTCTCGGTACATCAGTCACACTCTCAGTACATCAGTCACTCTCTCAGTACATCAGTCACTCTCTCAGTACATCAGTCACTCTCTCAGTACATCAGTCACTCTCTCAGTACATCAGTCACTCTCTCAGTACATCAGTCACACTCTCAGTACATCAGTCACTTTCTCAGTACCTCAGCCACTCTCTCAGTACATCAGTTACTCTCTCAGTACATCAGTCACTCTCTCAGTACATCAGTCACTCTCTCAGTACCTCAGTCACTCTCTCAGTGCCTCAGTCACTGTCTCATTACATCAGTTACTCTCTCAGTACATCAATTACTCTCTCAGTATATCATTTGATATCTCAGTACATCAGTCACTCTCTCAGTACATCAGTCACTCTCTCAATACATCAGTTACTTTCTGAGTACATAAGTCACTCTCTCAGTATATTCATCACTCTCTCAGTACACCCATCACTCTCTGAGTACATCAGTCACTCTCTCAGTACATCAGTCACTCTCTCAGTACATCAGTCACTCTCTCAGTACATCAGTCACTGTCTCAGTACCTCAGTCACTGTCTCAGTACCTCAGTCACTCTCTTGGTACATCAGTCACACTCTCAGTACATCAGTCACTCTCTCAGTACATCAGTCATACTCTCAGTACATCAGTCACTCTCTCAGTACATCAGTTACTCTCTCAGTACATCAGTCACTCTCTCAGTACATCAGTCACACTCTCAGTACATCAGTCCCTCTCTCAGTACATCAGTCCCTCTCTCAGTACCTCAGTCACTGTCTCTGTACATCAGTCACTCTCTCAGTACATCAGTTACTCTCTCAGTACCTCAGTCACTGTCTCATTACATCAGTTACTGTCTCAGTACATCAGTCAATATCTCAGTACATCAGTCAGTGTCTCAGTACATCAGTCACTCTCTCAGTACATCAGTCACTCTCTCAGTACATCAGTCCCTCTCTCAGTACATCACTCACACTCTCAGTACATCAGTCACACTCTCAGTACATCAGTCACTGTCTCAGTACATCAGTCACTGTCTCGGTACATCAGTCACTCTCTCAGTACATCAGTTACTCTCTCAGTACATCAGTCACTCTCTCAGTACCACAGTCACTGTCTCAGTACATCAGTCACTCTCTTGGTACATCAGTCACACTCTCAGTACATCAGTCACTCTATCAGTACATCAGTCACTCTCTCAGTACATCAGTCACTCTCTCAGTACATCAGTCACACTCTCAGTACATCAGTCCCTCTCTTAGTACATCAGTCCCTCTCTCAGTACCTCAGTCACTGTCTCGGTACATCAGTCACTCTATCAGTATATCAGCCACACTCTCAGTACCTCAGTCACTGTCTCATTACGTCAGTTACTGTCTCAGTACATCAGTCAATATCTCAGTACATCAGTCAGTGTCTCAGTACATCAGTCACTCTCTCAGTACATCAGTCACTCTCTCAATACATCAGTTACTTTCTGTGTACATAAGTCACTCTCTTAGTACATCCGTCACTCTCTCAGTACACCAATCACTCTCTGAGTACATCTGTCACTTTCTCATTACATCAGTTGCTCTCTCAGTACATCAGTCACTCTCTCAATACATCAGTCCCTCTCTCAGTACATCAGTCATTTTCTCAGTACATTAGTTACTCTCTCAGTACATCAGTCACTCTCTCAGTACACCAGTCGATCTCTCAGTACATCAATCACTCTCTCAGTACATCAGTCTTTCTCTCAGTACATCAGTCACTCTCTCAGTACATCAGTCACTCTCTTAGTATACCAGTCACTCTCTCAGTACATCTTTGCGATCGGTATCGTATGCTCAGATCAGACCATCAGGTGGGTTGCCTCTATGAACTCGAATGTCAGTAGCAGGTCCTTCATGGTTCCTTGAGGCCAGGTGTCTTTTGGAAGTTGTATGTAGAATGGCTCAGGAGTTTGTGGTCTTGTTTGACAGGCACAATGTGGGGGGGGGGGGGGGGGGGGGGGGGGGCTTACAATCTTTTGTTTTATGCATATGGTAGTTGAGCTTGCAGTGTCCTGTTCGTAGGCGGAAAATTGTTGTATGTTACTTTCTGTTGAGTTTTCTGATGGGGTCTTGAGGGTATTTACTGTTAGTTTGTTCTCTCCACAATTCCTTGTATTTTCTCGTGATAAGTTTTCTACAACCAGGACAAAAGATCACCTTTCTCCCATGACCTCCCTGTCCAGCCCCGTTGCCTCTACACCAACCACGGACCATCAGGTCTGTTATTTTACCAGCCTTTCCTGCTTCTGCCTCCCCCTCCTGCAGTGGTTACTTTCGTTAGACAGACCACCGAATCATCAGCTGCTCTATCCGAATTGGGGGAACGGATCAAATAGTCATATTTACCAAGCAGCGTAATCGGGTGGACTTTGGACCCGGTTTAACTCGGAGACACACAGAAAGTGTACTTTGTCGTTCCGCCGCCGTCGCCCGTTGAAAAGCTTTCATTAGCTGGGGCAGCCGCGGCGACAGTTGTAATCAGTCCTTTTGTGAGGCTGCCGCTTAAATTGTGATTGCTAAATCATTTCACGAAATCGCAATTCAAACACAGGGGAAGTAATTTCGTAATGGTGGGATCTGATCTGTGGGAAAATTACCGCCCTTGAAAGGGCGTAGTTGTAGGGTAAACAGAACCGTCTGTCTTCCTTGATCTTTCTACAGTAGAGAGATTATTTGCTTTGTTTCCTTCCTTCCATTTTTCATTCATTCATTTCTGTTTGTCTTTCTCTTTTTTCCTTCGCTTTCACCGGTTGAAAACTCCGGAGGGAAGAAAGGGTACGGTTGTTCGTCTACTTCTACGCTTTAGTCTGATTGTAGAACTGCATTTTTACAGATATGGCTTATTTGTGTGCAGACTGTTGGTTCCTTGCCTCTCAGGCAGACGCACTCCGACTTCAAAAAGAAATGCCTCTATAATTAATAGCCCTTTACAGCATTGTAAGGGGCAGGAGGGTGACCATGCCCCAGCCCAAAATAGGGCTCTGGTACCCACATAGGCAGTGTTTATTGCCTTCTGCCATCTTTCTGTCTGAGTTTATTTCAATAATTCATGTGTTATCTTACTGATCGCTTTCAAAATATACAAATATTTGCATAAATTATCCAACTTTATCTCTTTTTCTATTTGACCATCAGGTCTGTCTGTCTGTCTAACCATCAGGTCCTTCTGTTTGACCATCAGGTCTGTCTGTCTAACCATCAGGTCCTTCTGTTTGACCATCAGGTCTGTCTGTCTAGCCATCATGTATTTCTGTTTGACCATCAGGTCTGTCTGTCTAACCATCAGGTCTGTCTGTTTGACCATCAGGTCTGTCTGTCTAACCATTATTGCTTTCTGTTTGACCATCAGGTCTGTCTGTCTAACCATCAGGTCTGTCTGTCTAACCATCAGGTCTGTCTGTTTGACCATCAGGTCTGTCTGTCTAACCATCAGGTATTTGTGTTTGACCATCAGGTTTGTCTGTCTAACCATCAGGTCTTTATGTTTGACTATCAGGTCTGTCTGTCAAACCATCAGGTCTTTCTGTTTAACCATCAGGTCTGTCTGTTTAACCATCAGGTCTTTCTGTTTGACCATCAGGTCTGTCTGTCTAACCATCAGGTCTTTCTGTTTGACTATCAGGTCTGTCTGTCTAACCATCAGGTCTGTCTGACCATCAGGTCTGTCTGTCTAACCATCAGGTCTGTCTGACCATCAGGTCTGTCTGTCTAACCAATATTGCTTTCTATTTGACCATCAGGTCTTTCTGTTTGACCATCACATCTTTCTGTTTGACCATCAGGTCTTTCTGTTTGACCATCAGGTCTTTCTGTTTGACCATCAGGTCTGTCTGTCTAACCATTATTGCTTTCTGTTTGACCATCAGGTCTGTCTGACCATCAGGTCTGTCTGTCTAACCATTATTGCTTTCTGTTTGACCATCAGGTCTGTCTGTTTGACCATCAAATCTGTCTGTCTAACCATTATTGCTTTCTGTTTGACCATCAGGTCTGTCTGTCTAACCATTATTGCTTTCTGTTTGACCATCAGGTCTGTCTGTTTGACCATCAAATCTGTCTGTCTAACCATTATTGCTTTCTGTTTGACCATCAGGTCTGTCTATCTAACCATTATTGCTTTCTGTTTGACCATCAGGTCTGTCTGTCTAACCATAAGGTCTGTGTATGACCAGCAGATCTGTATGACCATCAGGTCTATCTGTCTGACCATTTGGTCTGTCTTTTTGACCATCAGATCTGTCTGTATAACCATCATGTCTGTCTGTATGACCAGCATATGTTTATGACCATCAGGTCTATCTTTTTGACCATGCCCGGCTCTCTAGCGTAGTTGGCTAAACTGGACTGCGCAGTGACCGGGTGATGAACTCCTTGTGGTCCGGGCTCACTCCCGGGGGTAGACACAAAAACCAAATTTCCTACCAGATTTACATACCTATCATTGAATCAAGGCCGAAGGGTTGCGATATCCATAGTACTGAGCCAAAGGGTTAACAACTCATGGTTTCTGGATATTTAAAAAAAAAAATCTGTTTAACCATCATATTTATCTGATCAGCAGATCTGTCTGTATAACCATAAGATCTGTCTGTGTGACCTGCAGAGGATGTTTTGGCATGTAATTATAATGTCTGCTATACCATTTGTCTATCCATCTCTCCCATCAAGGTTTCAGCAAATGACGGAACGAGAGAAGCAAGAAGCACTGCAGGGAGAGAAGATCTTTGAGTCCCCAGCTCCAAAGAAGCTCAAGTCTGAGGAACTGCTCATGAGATCAGGAGGTAGGCGTGTGATACAGACACAGACATCTCATGTGATACAGACACAGAAATCTCAAGTCTGAGTTTCACATTAGTCTCCTGTAGTCTGTGTTTCCTCATCATCATCCTGTAGCGATGTGTCTACATCTGATAGCCTGAGTGCATCTGCCTGAGAGGCAAGGAACCCAACAGTCTGCATACCAATAAGTTAGATCTGTGAAATAGGTGTGCACACAACACTCAGGTTCTGGAACAAGTATAAAGTCCAGAGGTGGATGAAAAACTAAAAACTTTACACTGGTGTTTACAGCCGGTGAATGCAAAGAAGAAGAAAAAGAAGATGTCTCCTGTGCAGTCCTTTAGATACTGCAAAAGGAATCTCTTCCAGCACCTTTGATTAAACTACTCAGTTGTCATAATGCTTGTCTTGGTCGCCATTCACTTAGTCTATTTTTTTCTCATTTCAGTACCTCTTTTGTGATTCTTTGTATTCTTTATTTAAAATTGTATCCTAAATATCATCAGATTATTTCATTACAGCCGATGTCAAGATATGTCTTTTTGGGACATCCTGGGTAGACACTAGTCTGTGGGACATCCTGGGCAGACACTAGACGGTGGGACATCCTGGGCAGACACTAGTTCTCAGGACATCCTGGACAGACACTAGTCTGTGGGACATCCTGGACAGACACTAGTCTGTGGGACATCCTGGGCAGACACTAGATGGTGGGACATCCTGGGCAGACACTAGACGGTGGGACATCCTGGGCAGACACTAGTTCCCAGGACATCCTGGACAGACACTAGTCTGTGGGACATCCTGGACAGACACTAGTCTGTGGGACATCCTGGGCAGACATTAGTCCTCGGGACATCCTGGGCAGACACTAGTCTGTGGGACATCCTGGGCAGACACTAGTCTGTGAGACATCCTGGGCAAACACTAGTCTGTGGGACATCCTGGGCAAACATTAGTCCTCCTGTCATCCTGGGCAGACCCTAGACGGTGGGACATCCTGGGCAGACACTAGACGGTGGGACATCCTGGGCAGACACTAGTCCTCAGGACATCCTGGGCAGACACTAGTCTGCGGGACATCCTGGGCAAACACTAGTCTGTGGGACATCCTGGGCAAACATTAGTCCTCGGGACATCCTGGGCAGACACTAGTCTGTGGGACATCCTGGGCAGACACTAGTCTGTGGGACATCCTGGGCAGACACTAGACTGTGGGACATCCTGGGCAGTCACAAGACTGTGGGACATCCTGGGCAGAAACTAGACGGTGGGACATCCTGAGCAGACACTAGTCTGTGGGACATCCTGGGCAGACACTAGTCTGTGGGACATCCTGGGCAGACACTAGTCTGTGGGACATCCTGGGCAGACACTAGTATGTGGGACATCCTGGGCAGACACTAGTCTGTGGGACATCCTGGGCAGACACTAGTCTGTGGGACATCCTGGACAAACACTAGTCTGTGGGACATCCTGGGCAGACACTAGACGGTGGGACATCCTGGGCAGACACTAGACGGTGGGACATCCTGGGCAGACACTAGTTCTCAGGACATCCTGGACAGACACTAGTCTGTGGGACATCCTGGACAGACACTAGACGGTGGGACATCCTGGGCAGACATTAGTCCTCGGGACATCCTGGACACTACACTAGTCTGTGGGACATCCTGGGCAAACATTAGTCCTCGAGACATCCTGGGCAGACACTAGTCTGTGGGACATCCTGGGCAAACACTAGTCTGTGGGACATCCTGGGCAGACACTAGTCTGTGGGACATCCTGGGCAGACACTAGTCTGTGGGACATCCTGGACAAACACTAGTCTGTGGGACATCCTGGGCAGACACTAGACGGTGGGACATCCTGGGCAGACACTAGTTCTCAGGACATCCTGGACAGACACTAGTCTGTGGGACATCTTGGACAGACACTAGACGGTGGGACATCCTGGGCAGACATTAGTCCTCGGGACATCCTGGACACTACACTAGTCTGTGGGACATCCTGGGCAAACATTAGTCCTCGAGACATCCTGGGCAGACACTAGTCTGTGGGACATCCTGGGCAAACACTAGTCTGTGGGACATCCTGGGCAAACATTAGTCCTCGGGACATCCTGGGCAGACACTAGTCTGTGGGACATCCTGGGCAGACACTAGTCTGTGGGACATCCTGGGCAAACATTAGTCCTCGGGACATCCTGGGCAGACACTAGTCTGTGGGACATCCTGGGCAGACACTAGACGGTGGGACATCCTGGGCAGACATTAGTCCTCGGGACATCCTGGGCAGACACTAGTCTGTGGGACATCCTGGGTAGACACTAGTCTGTGGAACATCCTGGGTAGACACTAGTCTGTAGGACATCCTGGGCAGACACTAGTCTGTGGGACATCCTGGGCAGACACTAGTCTGTGGGACATCCTGGGCAGACACTAGTCTGTGGGACATCCTGGGCAGACACTAGTCTGTGGGACATCCTGGACAGACACTAGTCTGCGGGACATCCTGGGCAGACTTAGGGCGTCATAAACAGATAACGTTCTTGTATCACAAATGGAATGTCTGTGCACATTTGACACATACTAGATGACGAGACATGTGCAGCAGAGATACAGTCAGAGGATGTTATGACTGTGTTTGTGACTTCTTGTTTGTTTTTATATTTTATTAAAATTCTCTTACAGGTCAGACCCTGCTTTCCATGTGGAACAGTCGACTGAAGACCATCCAGGCAAAAAGAACCCATGAGTTTGATGGAAGACAACAAAATGAGGGAAACAAAGCTAAACTGTACATCCACCTGGGGGACACCAACAGGTAAAGACACATTGTGTGAGTCCACAGAAACATCTCTTTGTGAGAACCTTCATAACTGCACTGCAGATTACCTGACAAATGGTCATTTCTCTCTTGTTTATCAAAAATATTGCAAGCTGTTTGTTTTTTGTGTGAATAGTTGCTTGTATTTTACAGTTGCTCACCATTTAATTACATTCCCTGTGGGTTCCAGGTCCCCATTTAGGGATGAGACACTGCCCCCACCCCTCATCAAGCTTGTTGTAAAAGTCAGCTAATTAGGGCTATTTCCTTCAGAGTCAAGTGTATCTACCTGAGAGGCTAGGAACTCACAGGCAGCATACAAATATACTATTTATGTAAAACTGGTTTGCATGCAAAACTCACATTCTGGAATAATATCTTCTTCTTCTTCTTTCGTTTGCATGAAATAAATTGTCTATATCTGCAAAGCCGTCTCTTGTATGAATTTCACTGTCTTTTGTAATTCACTAAGCGGCCCGTAAAGTTTGACTTCCACAAGTGTCTCTTTTGGCCAAATGTTTTGCCTGAAAGCGTTGAATATGGGACAGTCTTGAAGGATGTGATCTGGAATAATAAGAAAATCCCGAAGTGGACTAACAATCAGACCTTTTCACTGGAGTTTACAGTCTGCGAATATGGAGAAGAAGAAGAAGAAAAAGAATTGTATTCCTGAATCCTTCTTTTTGTTCCTACCTTTCTATGGCTGATTGTATATATGAAAGGAAGATAATGGTTGTCAAATATTTAGCATGGGTAATCAGAATCTGAAATTAAAAACAGCAAAATTGTTTTCATTTTTGACTGCATGTCAGTCCTCCAGGAGACTAATGGGGATCCACGAGACAACATGGAGAGAGAACTGACACGCCAGCTAAAGAGACTCGCAGAAAAAAAAAAAGATCATTCTCCAGTGGCTCCCAGCTCACTGCAGCATAGGAAATGAGTTAGCAGACAGACTTGCTAAAAATGTAACAAAGGAGAAACAACACACCCATCCACTGTTGTTACCAGAAATCAGAACACTTATCAAGGGAAAATACAAGGAATTGTGTAGGGAACAATCTAACAGTAAACATCCACAAGACCCTATCAGCAGACTCAACAAAAAGCAACATGCAACAATTTTCCATCTACGAACAGGACACTGCAGGCTCAACTACCACATGCATAAAATAAAGATTGTACAGTCCCCACAGTGTGCCTGTCAAACATGATCACAAACACCTGAGCACATTCTGCAGACCTGCCCACTCTATCTACAGCTTTGAAAAGACACCTGGCCTCATGAGCAAAGTGTGCAGAGCAAGCTATGGGGAACCATGAAAGACCTGCTACTGACATCGTTGAGGCAACCAACTTGATGGTCTGATCTGAGCATAGGAAACCGAAGGCAAAGAAGAAAAAGAAGAAGATTTTGAGAGTAACTAGTTAATAGAAACAAAAATGATAACAAATTACATCATGAATAACTGCATATGTTGCATTTACTTGGATAACTCCACATATTACATGTAGTGGATAACTTGACAGATTACATGTAGTGGATAACTCCACAGATTACATGTAGTGGATAACTCCACATATTACATGTAGTGGATAACTTGACAGATTACATGTAGTGGATAACTCCACAGATTACATGTAGTGGATAACTCCACAGATTACATGTAGTGGATACCTTGATAGATTACATGTAGTGGATAATTCTACAGATTACATGTAGTGGCTAAATGTTGCATATTTCAAAATGAAAACTTACTGGAATTGTAGCAAAACACTTAAACATTAATGTTACCTAAAATGGCAAATTACAAGTTTACCGGACTCCACCACTTCAACCACTAAACTATAATGGATGTCACCTATTCATTGTCATGATGACAGTAACAGCAATTTCTCAACTGTTTTTTTTTTTTCTTCATCTTTTTCAGCCAAGACCAGAACGCACCCAGTGGAATTTTAAAACAGTGACAGGATCAAGTAGTTCTGAAATAATTATCTTCATGGGTTGTTCGTTTCTTTGTTCGTTTGACATTCTTTTTTAATCGACCCAAGAAGGACATTCATGTTCATTTTGGAGGTGATTATCATAAATTATGAAAGGCGAGCTCAAAGATTGAACTGAACAAGTGCAAGAAAGAAAGGCGGTGAGGGTGGGTTGGAACTAAATGAATAACATGCCAGCAACACATTATTATGGATAGACAGAGAGGTTGTGCTGGTGTGTAGAGGGGAAATAGAGAGGCACACAGACAGAGAGTACAAGAGTACTTGACTCAAGACAGTGAATGTGTGGCATAAACCTAAAGGCTTTATTTGTGTACCCATTATAGGCAGGACTTTTTCTGGCGGTACGCAATGGTAGACAGTACTAGCACCTTTTTAGACATAAATTTCCTTTTCAGTTACTTTATTGCACCCTTTGACGTACCTTCGCCGTTTATGGAAGAAAAGGGGGGGGGGGGAGGGATCAACACTTTTTTCTTTAAACAAATTTTTTTTAAAAAGTTATGGGTAGAGGTTATATATGTTTAAATTGTTGAAGTTTTACCCTCATCATCCTATTGTGCCATTATACATTGTGTTCTTCTGTTCATTGTCTTCGCATTCACCGGCTGTAAACTCCTGCAGAAAATTCTAGTGGTTCATCCACTTGTGGATTTAGTCTTTGCCCATAATTTGAGCATTGCCTGCCCATTTGTTTTTCAGATCTGCCTAATCTGTATGCAGACCAGGTTCCTTGTTTCTCAGGCAGATGTACACTGACTTTGAAGGAAACCCCGGAACCCATTCGATAAATTCCTTTCTGCCCTGTTTGATCCTTTCGATATCATGTATGATCTGTTACCCATGGTTGTCTCATCAGTGATCATTTCATGGTTTCTTTTGAATGTTCTTTTTTACCCTCAGTCTACTTGTTTCCCATTTCGTTGCCTGTTTGGTGATTATCTGCCCCTTTTCTTCATATGATCAAATCTATTGCTATCTTCTTTGTCATGTAACTGCTGATCCAAGCAGTTGTCCAGACATTTCTCGTATTTCTGTGCCTTTTTCTTTTTTCAAATCATCCTATTTAATATTCATCAGTTTCCCTAGGTGCTTTTTTTTAAGGTTTTAAGTTTCATTCCATGTGTTTATTGGTTCCCCAAGTTCAAAATGCTTGTATTATAATCAGCTATGAGCTTCAGTACTCTTCAGTGTAAAATTTAAACAGTTTATGACCTTGAAAACACTACAGTCTAATGATGTATCAGTATATGACCTTAAATACACTACAATCTAATGTTGTATCAGTTTGTGACCTTGAATACACTATAATGTTGTATGACACCTTTGAGTCCTGACCTTGTGTCCTTTTAATTTAACCTCTAAGATATTGTTACCCTAGTGGGACAGTTTTTGATTGTATTATTGGTATGTTGTACGCCAGTACGCCCCACTCCACTGGCAGAGTGAACTCAGGCTATGAGAGACCAGCATGAGAGCCAAGGCACTGTCAGTATCACCTTTTCTGTTGATGATTCCAGTGGGTCTGCCATTGTTCAAGCAGAAAAAATCCATGTCTGTTAGTGCTTTCTCCAATGCCTCACCCTGTTTGTTGACCATTGTATTACCCCATAGCTGACGTTTGGCGTTGAAATCACCATACATGATGATGTCAGTCATTGACTGCTCAAGAGAGAGAGGAGAGAGAGATCACTGAGCAGCTAATTACAATAACAAAATTATAGTTCACTGAGTCTTCTGTATCAGTACCCAAACATCGTTGTTATTCCGCCAACAAATTTCTGGGTGTATCAATTTAAGCCTGACTAGATGCCATCTGACGAGGGTTATAGAGCAAATCCAAGTGCTACGTCTCTGCCTCTACTTTAAGGTGACCACGGAATTGTAAGTGGTAACCTGGTAGCTGGCTTACTGTGGCGTCATGCGAACTTGTACCCACTTCATGTGGCCATTATTAATTGTCTTTAACTGTTTGTAGTGGGGTAGGGCGGTGTGAGATTTGAATACTGCAGGTAAAGAGGGTGACAAGTAAATGTAAAAGAGTCTCTTTCACACCTTCAGGCTTATTGGGTGTATAGTGTGTACAGATGAAATAAATAGGGATAATGAAATGGGTTGATTGATTGACAGAACTGGGAAAGTCCCTAAAGTGAGAGGCAGGAGGTTCATGGGGAAATGGTAAAAACATGGGATTGGTGAATTCACGTGTGAATGGGAGATTTTAGGAATTGCTGACTTGGAAGTGATTCTGTGACAGGACCCTAGAGAGTTTGGAATGAAAGTGAATCCTCAGTGAAGTGACAGTGGTAACTCTACGTTGAAGCATATTTGAGGACAATGCTGGTATCTGATTAAGTGTTGCTTGTATCAACTGTGACTATGTGTAGGTCAGCATCAAACGTGGCATGGCTGTGTTCCCAAACGTGAGAGCAAATGATCCTTGCCTGGACAGCGTAAGCTTGATTGTCATTTTGATTCTTGTTCTATGTTAGAAATGGGATAAACCTGGAACTGGTCATCGTCATCGTCGACTATCATTTGGAGTAGTGTGATCGTTGATAGAAGATAGTCTGCCTCGTCTATTCTACATTAGTGACCACTAGACAACGATCAGGGTCGAAATAAGTACGAGTGGAAGCGAGTACAAGAGAGTGAGACCCAAGAAAATAAAGGAGACACTTCTTTATAAGAACATCTTTATGATAGAAGAGACTTCTTTACAATTCGGTCCTGTCTGAAAATTACAAAGGGGATTAGATAGAGAGGAGAGATCATTGACACTCACCTATGAGAAAGAAATGAAACAGCAGGAGGCAGTTTTAAAACAGCAAAAAGCAATGCTAAAAGAGAAGCAATTACAGCAAGAATAAAGGTAAAGTAAAGGACCCTTTTCCACGACTTTCAGGTGTATCAGGTATATAGGGCTAGACCTATATTTTATAGACCCAACGGCACAATGTGGGTGATGTGGTCAGCATCACACCGGCCGCCTTTACTTCCTATGACTATACCTGATACCCACTCAAGGCTAAGTCAACCTAGGAGCCAAGGTCATTTTTGAAAAAAATTAGGCTTCCCCGCAGGCAAGCATCTAGCCGCTATGCCACAGCGACTCCTGAATTACAGCAAGAATCAATGCTAAAAGAGAAGCAATTATTACATGAGAAAGAAATAAGAGAAGAGGAATTAACGCTAGAACGTGAGTTTCTGGCAGCACAAGTTAGGGCAGATAGACAGAAAATGAAAACACAGACAAGGACAAAAGACATGGATAATGAATCCAAAGCCGAATTGGCAGCACAAAGGGAAAGAACTAAAGAAGAGGAACATAAATTTACAAAGTACGAAGGAGTGGTAAAGAATTTTGGGGAGAAAGACAACAAAGGATCGTGGATTTCTGAATTTTTACTTCAAGTCCAGTTTCACAATGTTCCAAAAGCTTTTTGGCTCATACCGTTCCAAAGACATCTTGTGGGTGAACCATTATTAAGTTTAGAAACAGTGCTAGAACATTGACAATTAGATTTTGACTACATTAAAGACAGAATAATGCGCCATTATGATTTACAAGAGGCATGATATAGATTGCAGTTCATTGATCTGAAACCAAATGTTGAATGTTAAATTAGGAATCGATATCACAGCACTTGGGACACCCACATAAGAGATTCGTCCCCATCTTCTGCAGCAAGTGAAGAGTTAAAATTCCAATGGTACCAGTAACTGTCTGATTGTATATCCGTCTCGCCTTTCCCCTGAGTGTCGATCGTCAGCCAAATCCACTTCTGACTCCTCGCAGTGCCATTCTCCTCAGACCATAATGATTCATCTTTGCCTCGGCACTCTTCACTCGCTCCCAAAGGGCCCCTACAACATCCAGCTTGTCGTACATCAGTTCACCACCAATCGATGCAGAACCGGCCAGTCTATATGACTGCTCATTTCCCAACACACTGGCATAACCTTGAGAAAATATCAAAAGGAAACTAACTACCCGGGATCTTTAAATTGATGCTTGCCACTTTGCATGGAGCATGCCTGTCTCCACCTTTCTCAACATGCTCTGTTAGTCAGTTACAATGACGGCATGTTTGTACTTTGTATTTTGATCTGAAACCAAAGGTAAGTCAGACATTTGTAGACCAAACGTCTGAAGTCCAAACAACATTTCAAAAATGTAAAGATTTGGCAAAAATCAACAACGGTTATGATTTGTTAGTAGATCTGATGATACAAAGTAAACTTTTGGAATCATTGCCAAAACCAATGACAACGTTCCTAAAAGAGCAAAGGAATGATGGTAGGTAGTTAGGTAGGTAGTTGTACCCCACTAGGACATCACACAAGCGATAAACACCCGGTGACACAAAGTGCCACCATGCAAATCAGGATCACCCTTGGAGAGGCCCCAGATACCCCTTTCAGCCATCAGGCCATATCTGTGGCTACGCCATATTTATGGCCCGGCTTTATTCAGGGTCACCTGTCAAAAGACAGGATGAGGTTTCAAAATAACAAAAAATGGCATCTATCAAGGGGACGACTGAGAAATGATGGATGACTGACTGACTTTCTACCCCACCAGGACATCACACAAGCGATAAACACCTGATGACACAAAGTGCCACCATGCAGGTGAGGATCGCCGTGGAGAGGTCCCAGAAACCGCGTTCAGACATTTGGCCATATTTATGGCCTGCCTATATTGCGGCCCCTGGAAAAAGCCAGAGTAGGGCTTCAAATGACAAAAAATTTCGTCCTGAAAAGGACGAAACTGGATAATTAGTGAAATGATGGATGAAGCAAGGCAATATATTGTTACATGGCTTGATTTACAAGTTTGGGGGACAAAATATTGCATATTTATTTGGTCTTGGTGCAAGGGGGGGGGGGGGGGGGGTGCATGTAATGATACTATAAATGGGAATAATATAAGGGGTTCACTGATGACAGTATGTATGTAA